GGACCGTCAGTCCCTGAAGTCTCACCCTCCTGGCGTCGATCTAAGGGCACGTGTCGGGCCTGCCTCAGTCGTGTAACAACATCAGGCTCCTCCAAGATAATCGACGCCTCTCTCAAACCGTACGTCCGCGGCGGATCCACTGCGCTCGTCGTGGCACCGCCTGCGCCCTCACGTCTGCCGCCACCGTCGCCACCACTTCCACCGCCGCCACCCCCTCTACCGCCAAACCCTGCAGCTACATCTCGACGTCTCGCGCTCGTGGAAACCCCTCTCAAACCTGGCTGACGACCAACACTCGCCGTCGTCACCCGTCTGGTCTCACTCCATGGTCGGTCCGTGCGACCGAACAACATGGTGTCCAGCAACTCCCGCGCACGCTGGGTAGTGTCTCTCCGTCTACAGGCAACCGACCTCGGGGTGAGGCTGCCGCCCTCCCTCGGAGCTGCGCTCAAGGGTGAAGGGCCTGCGGCGCCTCCAGATGGCGCTGCGACCGAACCTCTAGAAGGTAAGTCCCCTGCGACCCCGCCCGATGCCGCTACGACGGAACCTCCAGAAGGTAAGCCCCCTGCAGCCCCGCCAGACGGCGCTGCGATGGAACACGCAGAAGGTAAGCTGGGGCTGGCTGGCCCCCAAGATAAGTCCTCCACGTGAGGCAGCTTCCCCTCCTCCGGGACTGACCTCAAAATGCGCTGGTCAATCTCCGTCAAATCCTTCCTGCCATGGTCCTCCAACTCCTCAGCGGTCATAAAACCAAAAGGGAGGCTGCCTCGAGGCATAGCCACATGCCTAATCTCCGGCCTCGTCCGTGACGGCGCAAAAGTAGGGACCGGGGGTATGCACGCGCCCCTGCCTACACGTCGCTCCTCGACCGGGCCACCGCCACGTGCAGGATGCCTATAACCGTCCAAAAACGGTGCCGGATGTGGCACCACTGGCCCCACAGCAGTGCGAACCACCAAAGTCTGTAGCATCTCCTGTCCGTCCGCGTCACGCCTGTCCACCTATGCGGGGTCTCCCCCGCCGGTCGCGGACATCGGATCGGCCGTGGACGGCACCCCCGACCCGCCAACACCAACGGCCCCCGCTACGATCCCGTCCCCCGCGGTGGTCGGCGCTATCCCCTCTGCCTGTGTCGATGGGCGAATATCATCAACACCCACTGAGTGCCCCGTCTGTATGTCCTCCAGACCCGAGGACATATGCACTGCACCCTCAACTGAACCCACGGGCAGAGGCACGCCCGCGACCTCCTGCAATGTCTCCTCTGGCCTCAGCTGCACGGCAGGAGGCTGCACCGGCTCCGAACGTCGCTCCTTTGTCGGTGCCAACCCGCTCTCGTGCGTCCCCTGCTGAACATCTGCTCCGGTACACGAAACCTCTGCCGAAGCCGCCTCCTGCTGCGTCCTGTCGTGAACCTCTGCCGGAGTATCCGTATGGGCAGCTGGCCCCACGTCAACAGATGCCGGCGTATATGTCCCCAGCTGCCTCTGTCGGTCCTCGGCCACAAGACGGGCGAGCTCCTGCGTCCTGGGGTCCCTCTGTGCCATGAGGCACGCTCGACGACTA